GAGGTTTGTTTACATAGATATTTTCATAAACAGTATTTTATTAGTCTATGTAGGATATAGATTTTCTATAAGTAGGCTTAACTTGCTGCATTCACATTGTAATGGTGAACTCTACAGTCAATAGTTTGTCACACAAACATAAAGATTTAGTTATTCAGTTTGTAGATCATATTAAATATAATATTAAAGATTTTTATGTATAGTACATTACATTTCGGTAATGATCACACACTGCAGCTTAAATCAGCTGTAGCTCTATATCTTAGTTATCTATTGGTCAGCTAAACCTGCCGTGTATCAGTTGATGTTTTGAGTTGTTTCCACATCTGGACTGTTATCCATACAGGAGCAGACTTCTTCTGAGACCTTTTTTAAATCTCTTACAAGCCCCAGAAGCTGCTGTATAGCTCTTTCTGACAGCTTCAAACAGCTCTGACTATTTAACCTTGATCTGACTGTTGTGTTAAAGCTCACTGAAACAGACCCTCTGTGTAACTAACCCTATTCTGAGGGGGGTGGAGAGTAAATGCGATTGTCTGTTGTTTGAAAGAAAATCTTTAAATTTCCTTTCTCCCAGTGAATTTATTATTTCTAGCATTGTTCCAGTATTATTGACATTTTCATTATGAATTCATTTGTGGAAATTTATTGCAAAACCATGTCCTATTTTTTCATTATCAGTTTGATGATAAAATCTAAATATTCATAACACTAACATGTGGGGAATGGGAATTGGTAACTACTAGCTTAGAGTAAGGACAGCACTAACCATCACTGCCTGTCTGGAATTAGATGCAAGTATTAAGAAAGAAGAATAATTATATATGCAATTTTATGCATCTAATAAGAAAAATTGCTCTAACAATGTTTTAATTATTGTTTAAAAAGCATGTTTAGCTGCATGTGCATCTGTGAAACATTATGCGATCACACAAAAGAAACAAAAGCAAAACCAAATCAGAGGTATTGAAATATATACTAGCACTTCAGACTGAGACAGCTTGAAAGGCTGTTTTGTCTGTGAATGTCTAACCCCCCCCCCCCACATATTTTTAGACACTGGAAGCAAACGATTTCCTGTGCAAATTGGGATTTGTTCCCATGTGGGTCGCTCTATGGATTTGTGTCAGAGGAAGATCATTGAAGCTACGTGCGACTAATAACATGTTCCGGGTGCCATCTGGGTGAAATATCTGGCTGCACGCTGTTTAATCACATTTATCATAGCTCTACAGAATCCAGCGCTGCAACACAAAAGGCAGCAGGCAGACTTGGAAGGGAAATGCACCGTGCTAAATACGTTTCACCAAGCTCTGCAACGCTCTGTCCATCCTGTACACACTCAGACTCAGATGGGTAAACAGAAAGCAGCCTACTTTCTGCTGAACATTGATAACAATGACATTTAGAAACCTACATGTATCCTTTCATTAGTGTCCTAATGTGTATTAATGCTAATATGGAACAATTAGGAAAAAGGGTGGGGTTTGTTCAAACATAACTGTCAGACTTCTACTCTCTGCTTGGGTTTATTTTGAAGTTTATTTGTGTTCTGTGTATTTGTAGTTTATTTCTACCAGTGCTGAGTTCTTAAGTTATCCTCTGTTGCCTCCTTGTGCTTGTTTTCCTTTCCCCTTGGCTTCCTCCTAGTTGGTCCTGCTCACACCTGCTCCCAATCTGCAGATTAGTCAGTCTTGGTTCAGTCTGCCATATTTACACCACCTCTGCAGTCACTCAGTGCTGGTTTGTTGTTTTGTTCTTCCCTCATCTCTGGCTTCCCACGTGAGTTTTCCCTGATGTAATCTTATTTTGGGTTCTCAATATTTTGGATTATTGCATTTCTGCATCAGTTGCCTATTATTTGCAAGTCTCACCTCTGCCTCCTGATCTCTGCATTTGGGTCCTCAAAAACCTCCACAAACTGTGACAATAACAGCAACGAAAGGATGGCCTCCCCTCATTTTAACTTAGACAATTCTGTTTTAAAGTAACAACTGGAAACTCATCAGCACAATGTCTGTAAAGTAGCCCAGGGCTGTCTGAGCAGATGACCTGCTGACATTTAAGCACAGAAATCCTGAGCATTGAGGAAAACTAATTAGGGCTGGGCAATTAATTGCATTTGCAATATAATCGCAATTTAACAAAATGCAATTTTTAAATCGCAGAGGTACTGATTTTTAACAAGAGTAAGACATAACATATCCCCCTCCAGCCCTTTAGGTGGTGATTAAATGCTTGAAGTGTGTTTGTCGCCACACAGAAAGGTAGAGAGATTTGCAGCATGCTTGCAGATCCATGCATGCAAGTAGAAGTAAGCACTTTTTTTACACAACGGTTACAGTAAAGTTCTGCAACAATGGACTCTGGGCAAGCAAGCTCTCAGAAAAGAAAAGCCAAAACCAAAAACATCTACAAGCTTGGGTTTAAAAAGTTGCGATTAAATCGCAATAGCAATTTTGAGGGGAAAAAATTGCAATTCAGATTTTTGTCAAAGTTGTTCAGTCCTAAAACTAATACTAAATCAAGTTATTGATTTTTATTAGTTTATGTGACAAAATCAAAATAACAAAAAAAAGTTGATAGAAATCATAATGCTATCTAGAAAAAGCACTCAGAGCGCACAACTTCGCCAAGCAGCAAATTTTGCCCCAAATTGTGACTAACACCTATAGATAAAACTCGCACATGATCATTTCCATATTTAAATGAATTGTTCCTTGGCATGAAGCGTACCTCTGGTCAATCATTTCAATAAAATGCCTTTATAAGTTTTCAATTGATCCTGCTAAGAAACCAACAACTTTCCCCTTTCTTGTGTTTTTGTCAGTTTTCTTCAGTAAAATACCTCCAGACTTTTTGAGTCCCATACTGAGGCTGTTAATAGTCACTGCTGCCACCCTCTTTGGACTACCAGGGCAAAATTCTTGCTCTACTGAGAGACACCAACACGTACAAATCTTCGAAACAAGATCCAACTAATGCCTACAAAAAAAGAATAACAGACTACCTCAAAGAATGGCCCGGCACAAAAGAGCTACCTCCTCCTGTAAAGACTATAAGGTTTATCTACAACTTATGGACAAAGAACATTCTTTTGAGGACCACAATGTTCACATTTTGGACAACAAACACAGGTGGTTTGAGAGGGGTGTGAAGGAAGCCATCTATGTTATGAGTGTTATGAGAAAAAATAACCTTAAACATAGGAGGTAGACTCAGATTTCAGCTTTCAAAAACCTTCAATGCAGTGACAGAGTTGATTCCCTCCTGTTATCATCTCAACCCCAACCCCCATTCAGGGGACCAAAACATCTCGCCTGT